AGGCTGCACCACGTGGAGGTAAGTCTATCGCACACCCCGCCTCTTAAATATTAAATTACTAGCCCCCACTGCATATTTCATTTACTGGAATATTTCAGTTTGTTAACAGTTAAATTCACAGTTCGGAGTACAACTTCGAGAATAACTGTTATCAATCTACATCTTTTCTCGTTTTAGATCCTCATCACATTATTAACTAGTTTGTGTTAGATATTGACTAAAAATCGAGTAAAACTTGGCTTTTGAAGGTATAGTGAGAGATGCAACATCCCATATAAAAAAAAGAAAGCTTTACTTTTCATTGATTTTACAGAAACTTGGCAAACAGGAGAGATTTCCGATCCTAGAGGTAAGATGATCGAAATTTGAAACTGAACTCCACAAAAAGCTCTACTTTGCTCTCACTCAATTTATTAATATTTAATAAGGAAACCGTGGTAACCAAACCTGAACCAACTGAACGATCCTTCAAATCCACCAAAAAGGTGAGATTTCATAATATATTTCTATAACAAGAATAAGAAAAAAAAACAAGACAATAGGCATTAGTTAGTTTGCCAGTTTTATTACAATTAGACCGTTATCATAATTGAAGTTCATCTTAATTTTTTTAATTGAAATACATCATGGAAAGTATTTCTCCTATGGTGGAGCTCGGGTAAAGTAAATGTAATGTGAAAGGACTAGTAGAACAGAATTCAAATATGCTTAAGGCACTATCAAATGGTTCTGTTATGCCGACTGGTAGATAAAGCTAAAGCTAACTTATTTGATATAGCTGAAAATGTCCAGTGCATGATTACTAAAAGCGATTGCTTGAACCATGTTCCAGATATTCATGGGAGCATATCCCTATAAGCTGCAAGGCGGAGAGCTTCATGGATTTGCGATGGCTGAGATGGCCTGCAGAGAAGTAGGTGAAACCTTTTTCGGCGACGGAGGCTTTCGTGCCCTCTTGACCTCTCATCATCGTCCATTAAACAGAATCATGCCACGCCACTTGTCCAGTCTTCCTCTCGTCAACCTACATGTAGTTTCTTTATTTGCAATACTTCCTTCTAATGAATTCTGCTTAATCACTCAATAATGAAATTATTTTTTTATTTATCTAAAGATATAATATTCGTGAGTTAGATAATAGCGAAGGCACTTTTAACAAAGCAAATGGATAAACCAAAAGGGTGGATATCTTAATGATTGGCATTTCTAGAACACTTGGCCATTATTGCATTAGCTTATGCGAAAAATATTAAGAGCAGTCTTTTAACGAATGAAAGCCATCATGATTTTAAGTTGAAATTTTTTTGAAAAAAAATTTCATCTGAAGAATTAGAACACAATTTCATTAAGAACTTAATATTCGTCCTCATAAGTGGAATGTCATGTTCTCTGCATTAAGAAATATTTCCTCCAATCGAAAATTGCATGGCACTTAATTTCAAATAAAATGATTCTAAAAATCATTTTTAGTAATAATCGTTTAATTTTTAATAATAGTCCGAGGTGAAATAGACACCAGATGTCAAATCGACACCTTTCGCTTTAGTTGATTGGGCAGCGATCACATATAGACTTCAGTTTTCACAGAAAGTTCAGCTATAATATATACTTGTTGCCAATCAGTAGACTGCTGTCTACCAAGGACTTTGTGAATATAGTAGGGTGTGAAACTTGTTACTTTTCACCTGTTCCATTGATGATAGCTCTTTCCAGAAGACTAAATTTTATAATTACACAAAGATTTCATAGAAATTGGAAAAGTCGATAAGTCATATGCATTGATATGTAATTTTGAGATCCATAAATAAGCCGTTATGAACTTGGAGATGTCCATGGTTAGACCAGTTTCGTATAAACTTTATTTATTTCTCAGGGTGATCTTCTTGCTAAGGATTGGCAAGATTTCCTGCATGGACGACTGACCAATAATACATTAATTTCAATGGATGGATCTAAAGAAGAAATTTCTCCCCGATGGTTAGTTACTTCAATTATAACTGATTTATCTATCATCTTAGGTTTTTCAAAATTAAAATTAAGGAAAGGTAATTGTTTGCATTTAAAAGCTGGAGTAAGGTACTTATGAAATGCTTAAGAGCAGGCAACTAATTTTGTTGAAATAATTTGAACCAGCCATTCAAATTATTTAAGATATATTTATTTCAAAAGCAGGCGCTTTGATAATTATCATTAGTCCTTTAGCTGACTCTGGGCTTCACAGAGGAGAGCACCATCAAAGTGAGAAAAAGTAGAGAAGGTGAATAGAAGAATGAATCACAGATGAAAAAAGACAGGCAGACAGACACAAAGGTAAAGAGTGAGAGAGAGTCAGAAGTCAACTGCCGGTTTATGGACTTTTTTGCCGT